ACACTGGGACTTTTTGAACTTCTATGTGACTGCTGGCCTTCTGCTTTTTGCTTCTATTTATTGGTTCTTCTTTGTGAGGGCAAGACCACATTCAGAACTCACACGCGCAACGACACCCAGCGAGCGTCTTTACGAATGTTTCGGAGGTCATCTGGAGCTTTCGACCCATGGTCTAGATGATAGTAACGACCCCGAAATGATTTGCTCTTTCTGCGCAAGATTTCAAGGCATCGAGATGGAGCTATTGAATCAGGATCACATGCGAAGTCATGATAATGAGTCACAGCATCCGGCGGCGCATCGCCACCCTCACTACGGGTACCTCCATTTTGTCTCAACAAGTGTAAGTGGGCTATTGTTGGGATACTTTGCACGTTATACACAAGGTGTACATGTACAGAACAAGTGCTAATCCTTTTGTACAGCGGGATCGTCAGATGTGAGTGAGCACCTGCAAGTTGACATGAGGCTTTGCTGGATGCGGCACATTCCAAGTATGCTTCAGGACTCACGCGGGATGAATTTCCAACTATCCAGCTAGGCTGATCTAAGCCGTGACCTTGAAACGGAGTCTTTTCAGTGAAGGCGAAGATTTGGACTCCTCTTCATGGCACATGTACATTCCACCTCTTGAGCCTGTTTAGGGATCATTGCTGCCTAAAGTCTGGATGTCTGACGGATGAATGGCATGGCTGTGTGAGTTCAAGCGACACATTTCAAAAGTTCTTACAGACAGCCGGGGGAGGGGATTAATAGGGCCAATAGATTCCAATTGGTTGGATTGCTCGTGGGAGACCACATGCCCAAATGTGTACATGTAAAGTACTTCACCATGCAGGGTTTGGTAATATAGCAAGGTCGATAACGCGCCTGCGGGGTTCTTAAACAGGATCCTTCGCCTCGCTGTCCGCCCGTTCTTTCCTCCTCTTTCCAACTTGATAATTTCCCGCTCAATATGGCTCCCGAATTGTTTATCAACAGGCTATCCACTTGGGTTTGCACGGATGTGTTGAATTACGCGAAGCTTTCTGATATCAAGGACTACATGAAAGAACGGTATCCTCTACATTATGATGGAGACGGCGATAGGGTCATTCAAGACTTCGAGATCCAGGTAACCCTTCAGCTCCCAATGACTTCAAAACGCCTTTGGACACAAGACTTATTATGAAGAATTTGCGAGCCAACGGCGATTACCGGGTTTGGGCCCCCGAAAAGATTCCAGAGGTACGCAATAGACTTTCTGTTGGATTAAGCATCTAGAACGTGGATGAGCTGCCTGACGATCTTGTATTAGAGTGTGATACAGGAGTGGAAGGCTAAAAACAATAAGCCTAAAAAGTACACGTGAAAAGCCTGGACTTCTGCCTGGAGCTGATATGCAGTACGGCCAAGACGCGTCAGTGGCTTCACTCGTGCGACCAGACATTGCTGGGGTTAAGAGCGGCAGGCGTGGCGGGGAGGGGGTCAGAGGTATGTGTGGTACGCAAGGCTCGGCTTCTTATCAATCATGCAGTCCGTAAGAAGTACCTTGGCGCTGGTTCGCCAAAGTTATGCAAGTTCCATTCACATGCGATTCGAAATGGAATAACTTGCATGGCAAATATTATGATGTATCAATAGCTTTCTGCCTTGGCGTGCCTCGTCCGTCGGTTTGTGCTTGCACAAAAATAAACCACCCCCGCCACCTACGAGCAGCGCTCCTTCCCCCTCAACATTTCTATCAATAACGCACGAACTCCACTTTCTCAATAGAGATTCTTGCAGCGTCGTAAGAGGAATGTTCCTTGTGTGTCGACCATATATGGAGAAAGCATCTCGGCTTCTCAGTCAATGTCACGTCATACTACGATGGAGCTGAAGCAGTTGTCATCAGAAAGAGACTCCGCTTTCTCTCCAATGTCCGGGATCTTAGCTTGGGATTTGAGTAAACTTCATCTTGCAGATATGATTGAGGAAGAAATGTTCTGACATGACTTTGAAGACACATTTGCTCCAGCAGAGTTCAACAACTCAGATCACCAGGAAAACAGCGATTTGGAGGCCTATCTGTGCGTCGACTCTTCTAAAAGGAATTCCTCCGAAGCCTTGTTGACGAAGTAGTAAGATCCGCATCATCACAAGATAAGGCTTCGACCACAACCAGCAATCTTTTGTGAGAGAACTTGTGAAAACGCCATGTAAATGATCGGTTCTGATTAAGGGCAGAATCATCCCTCAATGGCACTCGCACAGCCCTCTTTCAATCAGTGCCGAAGGGGTTAAAACTCTGCTTAGGCATCTTTTGGCTTTCCAAGGCCTTCATATGGTTCTTTGTAGCTTCACCCCTGCAAATTCGGACTGTTATGTCGACAGATCTGGGTCTTACTTCAACAACAGATCTCGCACCGATGATTCCACTCAAAGTAATGGCCACTGCAACATTTACCCCTTTAATCCATAATGCTAATTGAAGCGCCAGGATTCGAGTCTTGCTGCCTTCTAAAATTTGTTGAAATAAATGGCAGAGAACGGCTCACCCCCGACGATGAACTAGGTAGACTTCAGAACGAGGTTCTACAATGGTCGGTCAGAAGGCAGGGCTTTTATTTCTTACATAGTGTGCAAGATGAAAAAGTCCGCGACTTCACCGTTCTCATTAACCCTTCTGATCACCTGTGGCATTTGATCAAGGAAGAGTATGGAGGTATAATGACTAGCCGCAGCGATAGCAATGATTGGGCGACCATGATCATCTTGGTGTTTAAGAGTCTTGTGATAAATTGGTCGTCGTACATCTCTTGCATTCACAAAGCTGTGCACAAGATCGTAAGTTAAATGAGACCTCCGCTATTAGTAGATCCTAGAATTGTCTTGCTAACCTACTGATCTACGTGCAGCGATCAGACGCTGCGGCAACCGACCCTCGCCGGCCAATCATGGGTGAAGCGAATACCCAAAGTCTTCAAGTCGCTCTCTCTATTATGGGGAGGCTCCAGACTGCGGCACACGTGTTAGAAAGTAATATCACTACTACGAAACATCTGTATCACGAAGTAGACGTCAGGGAAAATCTGATGCGAGATAAATCTTACGTGGGTGAGAAACAAAGGATCTCGGAATGTTTCGATAGTGTGATTAGAGAGCTTGACTTCCAACGAAGCCATGTTCTGGTTCTTGCAGCAAAATTGGAGTCTGTGACCACCATGGTAAGGGCATGCCCTGCAGACATAATAGCTTCAGGAAACTAATTAGTGATAGGTCCGCGACCTCGTCAACCTCCGCAACACGTATACGACAGAGACATTGACCGCCAGAACCGTCATCGAGGCCCACACAATGAGAGTCATTGCTCTACTCACATTATGTTTTCTTCCGCCCACCTTTGTTGCCGTGAGTCAACTCATATTTAGCCTTTCTCAAGCCTGCCGCGCTGACATTGTCGCCACTCGACGTAGGGATTCCTGGACATGGGCTATATCGACATCAAATCAGAAAAGGGTGTGATCAAGCTGGATCTTCAACCTGGAGTATGGGTGTATCTGGCCATTTCTTTGCCTCTTGTGGTGGTCATCTTGTCTACCTATTTGCTTTGGGACAGACGGAACATGCGCAACGTAGCTCGCCAGGGGAGCATTGTCTGATTCATTGAAAAGTTTGACTTCAGGTTTCATCGAACTCTTAGTTCCTTTGTCTAAGTCTTGAGCATCATTTTTGGGTTCCTGGAGTTGGATTATTGAAATTATTCTCTCAGTGCAGACTTTCTCCAGAAGAAGGGACAGCCGGGCGGAGGGTCGGACGGTCGGATGGTCGGACGGTCGGACCTTAAGTCCATATCCGGTCCGGGTTTAGCGCTTACATGCACATTTTCCGCATGCTCAAAGCTGTGAAGACGAACGAAATGACCCGTGACTTCACCACTACTCCTGAAGGTTAAACTCATTTGTTGAAATCTGCGAATTTCGTAGTTCTGTTACAAATTTTCGACACCAATCGTTCGCAGTCTTTTAAGAGAGTAAATATGGCATATACTGCGTTAGCTGCGAGACCTCGTCCTTCGGATGCACCAGCGGATGTCACATCTCAACCTCAACCACCCAGTGCCAGTCGACGCCGAGATAAACCTCAACTTTCCTGCGACAGTTGTCGCCGCCGTAAGTAGGTCAGAATCCTCTCTCCCCATCGAGTTTGGCCACGGCTTCTAATACACTACCCATCGAAGGACTCGATGTGACCGTCAACGCCCCTGCCGGACCTGCTCTTTGCGGGGCCAGCAGTGTGTCTATCAAGAGACCAACGGCACGATCCCACCTCCAAAGGCCACGTCAGGTGGCGCCACCAACATAACTCTCCAAGACCGTCTAGTCCACCTCGAGCAGTTGGTCACAATGTTGGGATCATCGGAAAACCGAATGAGTCAGATCCGTACGCCTGCAGACTTACCTACGCCAATTGATGATCGCTCAGAGACGGGGAGTATGCGGTCAAGCGCTTTGGAACACCAATATGTCGGCAGTGAACACTGGTCAGCGATCATGGAGAGTATTGCCGATTTGAAAGACCACTTCGACCGAGAGGAACAGTCCAAGCTGGCAGAAAGTCCAATGGGAGATTACTGCTTTGACGACCCAAGCTCTTTCACCCTACGTCGAAGGTGGCAGCGCCCCTTGCTTTTGTACAGATGCCGACCTACAAGTTCAAGGTCAGAAATCCTGTCCGCCCTGCCGCCAAAAACGGCAGTAGACCGTTATATATCCCGGTATTTCAACCGTCTAGACCTTGTCTCTTCATGTTAGTCTTTTCGCGCCTGATCTTGGCCGATTGCTTGGATTTGAGAGTAACCCTTACTAATGCCCAGCAGCGTCTGTCCATGGTCCAACGTTTCTCAAAGAGGTAAGCGCGCATCAACGTCTCTACACTTAGCCAGATCAAGTCACTGACATCGGCATCGGTCACAGTACGAAGAGTTCTGGCGCAATCCTGACGACACTTCCCCAATGTGGATCGGTCTTCTTTTCAGCATGATTTGCTTAGCTGTCATCGCGTCAGACCCTTCCACTGACGTATCTGAAGATGGCCACCAACAGTTGCAAATAGAACTGTACCGAGAGAAGCTGGTACAATGTCTGCTGATGGGAGAGTATACTCAAGGTGGTGACTATGCGCTAGAGACTTTCATGAATTACGTCTACGTTGAATTCCGGATACACGATGACGCGCAGAAGGATATTTGGTTCTTGCTGGGTCTCGAAGTCAACCTAGCCAAACGCATGGGATACCACAGAGATCCCAAACACTTCCCCGAAATTTCCCCGCTAAAGGCAGAGATGAGGCGCCGGGTATGGGCGACAGTCTTGCTCGGCGATATCTTGATCTCAGGTCAGATGGGAATGCCCCGCATGGTACGGGACGGCGAGTTCGACACAGCTGAGCCTCGAAATTTGAACGATGAAGACTTGAACGGAGAAACGACGAATCTACCGCCGCCAAGGCCAGAGACGGAGCATACAACAGCGATGGGGATCATTGCTCGAAGGAGACTTCTGATCGCCCTAGGGACGATCTCCGACCTGACGGCATCCCTGAGTCCATGCAGTTACGCGGAAATCATGCGAGTCGACGGGACTCTTGAACAGGCATACATCAGCATTCCTCCACCACTCCGCATGAAACCGATGGCGTCCAGCGTCACTGACCCTCCCCAAGTGATTATGGCCCGACTATTCCTTCATCACATGTTTTGTAAGGGGAAAATCATGCTACATCGTCGATTTCTCTTCACAAAGTCTTCCACAGAGCATGAAAACACATACTCCTATTCGAGGACAGCCTGTCTTGATGCAGCTCTAGGAATGCTGCACATCCAACAAATGCTGGACGAAGAAACATGCCCCGGCGGCCAGCTTTTCATGATGCACTGGCGAGTAGGCTCCATTATGAATCACCACTTCTTGACGGCCACCATGGTTCTCTGCTCCCTAATCCACGGAAGACAAACCCTGGGCCGAGAGGACGAGATCGTGGCCGCTTTGAGAACTGCTCGCAGCATATGGATGAGAAAAGCAGAGGGCTCGGTTGAAGCGAAGAAGGCTGCGCAAGCCGTCAGTATCGTTCTTGCGCGAGCTGGAGGTCCGAGGTTTGATGCTATCCTCATGGCTGATCGGCCGAGCCAAACGACGTCCGAGTCTATGAAACATTCGGAAGATGGATTTCTTGAGGACTTTGTGGGAGAACAAGTCATGCCTGATGAGCAAATGTTCTTGGTCGAGGCTTTCATGTCAGATGAAATGGACATTGGTGGGTACTAACTTGAAACAAAAACAAAGGTTGAACATTAGCATGGCTGATGGTTTTCACATACAGGCATGGACCTTTTACCGCCTTTCAATCGCCTTCCCGACGAGCTACCAACGGAAACGCTCAGCAGCGAACAACTTGGAGGCCCAGCGAGCCATGGGGACCCAACAACAAGTGAATGGGTGTTTATGGGTGATCAAGAACAGTACCAGTGAAGTATTAACAATTCTGCATCAAATCTTGGTCGGAAATAAAGCCAATGATCACACGTGCAATTTCAGATGCGGAACTGTAGCTGCAGAAGTTCAGGTTTCTCTTTGGTGTGATAATTGGGTTTAGACTCTTTGCGATCTCTCCGTCATTCTTCTGCTTGCCATTCACCTCCATTCTGACCGCCCCGATGTCTTTAGAGATGTCTGGAAATCTTAGTGTCTTTGTATGGAGGAGTCGCCTGCTTCACATAACAGTGCAAAAGGCACACAGCGCTCCAGGGTAGCATCCATCGGCAGGCCTGATATTCTGTCAGATTCATCTTCCATGAAAGTTCAATGATTCTGGAATGCTCACCAGACACCACAGCAAAAGCCATCGTGATCGATGCAGCCTCCACGCAGGTGCATTTGCTCTTGAGTTAGGTCGGGTTGCTGCTCTGCCGGAGCATCAGCGGAAGGGGCAGGTCGAGCATCCTGCGAAGCAGGTTCTTGTTCATTTTGGTCCGCCATTGAGTAGGTATTGATTGTGATGGAATGTGAGCAGTAATATCTTGTGTCCTAAGGTAGGGGTTTGTGTTATTGAGACTTTCCTCAAGTGAGAGATCGAGGAGAGGACATGCTTAGGCTTTATTGAGGTGATGTTCTGAGTTGAGGTTTTTGGTGAATGAGATGTGCCTGCTGACGTGAATGGTGAGATTCATCAAGGGGTCGTTGGAATACATTCACTATCTGTGAGAAGTAAGGGAGAAGAAATTCCCGGTGACGCAGATGTTTTGAAGGGGCCGCCTCGTGAGGCAGTAACAATACTCTCTGTAGTACTTTCCATTAGTTTAAAAGGTTGATCAGTTCCTTCCTCTCAAGTTCCCATACCTTGGTCACATGATGTGCGCATTAAGGCCAAGTTCACAGGAGGAAGGAAGCAACGCCCTTAGGTTCTGGGTAGGAAGGTTCGACCAAGTCACTTGAAGAACGGAGGGCACAGTGGGTCTCTGTCAATACAGGCAGGACCTCACAGTAGATACAAGTGGAAGGAGCATCAGTGGTCTCGCCCTGGGAGAAAAAGAGAATGGGACAATTATAAGCTGAGAGAAAGATGATCAAGGTTTCTCAGCAGAATCCAGACCATAACATGAGGCGTGACACAGGCCCTTCCATATACAAAAGGTGAGAAGATGCTGTCTCCAGCTAAGATATAACTCAATGTTTCATGGTGAAATGTCGTCACGCCTTAGGTATGAAGACTTGGGAGCACATAAATTAGATTTCCCCCTGGTTTATCGAATTCAGGTCATTATTCTTGATCAGGAACAATTGATGGGCAGGCATGCTTCACAGCAAACTTGGCTCAATGGTCAGCATAGCGGGGCGGGGGCTGTGTTCCAGATCGCGAATCCTTCGATGGTCAGCTGACAGGCGCGTCAGCACAGCGCTGATCAAGCGAGAGGCACCCGACGGCGTTAAAAGTTACAGAACCTCTTGTGGTTGCCTTCAACCTAATTGATGTACTCAGAGAATAAGGTAGTCAACATTTCCCATCGACCTCATCCCTATCTAAGCGCGCTCAAGCTAGCCGTTCCTGCTGACAACGCCAGCGATATCAAACCACCTGCTTCCCCAAGCGCGAGTATGTCAACTGCACAAGATCAACAAAACTTGCCTCAAGAGGGTGCACGCTACCCAACCAAGTATCGCCGCAACATTCCTAGGTCAAAGAATGGCTGCTTGACATGCCGCGCTAGGCGGAAGAAGTGTGACGAACGCAGACCTTGTTGCACATCCTGTGCCCGTACCAGGCGGGAGTGCACATGGCCTGTCTCTGCAGAAAATACCGCGAAAAACAGCACCAGGGACATCCTCCCAAACCCAACATCATCGGAAAATGAAACTTCGGAAAGCAATCGACCATCCCAGCAGCATACGACGCTACCTAGTAGACCTAGACCAGCCGTTCTAACGACGGCATCTATCCCGGAGGCACTTGAGAACTCATCGTCTTTGCGCGCATCTCTCACATTTGGGACTCTTTCAAACTTAAGCAGCAGTTCAAGGCCGCTATATGATCAATACCTCGATATGACCGCGGAGCTACTAGCTCGTGGTCCTAGTGCAGACGGTAACCCGTTTATCAACTATGTCTTGCCTTTAGCAGCTTCCGATAGCCTTGTGATGGACTGCGTTCTCGCTATTGGAGGAGCACACATGGCTGTTTTAGAGCCTGATCGGCCGCAGTTGGAAGTCATGACCCGAAGGCATTATGCCCGTCTGCTGGAAGGACTACGAAAGGCGCTCTCTAGCGATACGGTGTGTCCATTTGGCGAAAGAGATGAGGACAAGAAGCTCTACACTCTAATGATTCTTATCATGCTATGCATTTTCGAAGTAAGTTCTCTGTGTACTTCCTTGTCAGCATGATTTGTCCGACTAATCTTGCGCAGGGAGTCCAGGGTGATAATTCAGGGGCTGTCTATCATCATATTCGAGCTAGCCGTCACTATGTGATGGAATTGGCAGCAGACACCTACGAGCCATCAGCGTCAAAGAAGACTGAGCATATTCGTGGCTTCCTCTTGGAGATATACGCAATGTTTGCCCTGAAGTTATCAGTCACGCCACGAGGCTTACAAGAGGAGAACCCTGTGGCACTGGACCCTTTCCTTGGCTCCCTGAAATTTCTGAGCCAGTACAAGTCGCGAGGATTCATGATTGGTTTCGGACACGGACTCTTCGCCATGATGCCAGCCATTTCGAATCTTGTTGAAAAACGCAGGAAAGAAGAACTGTGCGGCTCCACGTCTGACGATCTATTCAAAAGTTACCAGTCACTGTTGGAGAAGTTAGACGCATTCGACCCCTCATCCGACGTTCTCGACGGTGAAGACGCATGTCCTCGCTACCAACAATCATCAGCCGTCGCCATCTATCGCACAGCTCTAATCCTCATCCTTCACTCCGCCTTCCACGAAGACATGTACAAGAACGCGGAGCTTCTTGCTGAAGTCGAGCGTCGGATAGACAAGATACTGCCTCTATGCTGGGCCGTTTACGCTAGCAAGTCACCGCTGCGGAGGATGATGCTATGGCCGGGGTCGATTTTGGCATCCTGCTGCAAGAAGCCAGAGCATGTCCACGCTTTTCGACTGGGACTGAACTCGAATCCACGATCGCCGGGTGGTGTCCGGGAAGCGGCCAAGGCCGTTGAACTGTTGTGGCAAGATGACGATCCCGCAGCGTATGGGCCTCGAGGGTTGAACATGGTGATGAAGAAACACGGTCTTAGTTTTAGTATGTGCTGAATAGACTAAGTAGTAATTTAGGTAAATGGGATTCTTTAGTTTAGCAACTTCATATGATTTGTAAGTATACACAGCTGGAATCGGGTAAGCAAGTCCTCCGGTCTTCGAGGCCTACCTAAAGTGGGTGGTTTACAGATGAAACATTCATAAGTACACAAGTTCGTCTGAAGAAGGCTAGAAGCATTATTCATAATCATTGTTTGCTAACGAAGCACAGGTATCGCAAATCATAAAGGTATCAACAAAAGGCATCCCATCCACAACCCGTACCCCAAGCTTAGCATCCACCACCTCCACCGCCGCCGCCACCTCCACCACCCCCATCGCAGCCACCTCCTCCCCCATGGTGACCACTCCCTCCGTGGTGTCCTCCACCGCCGCCATCACTGCCCCAGCCGAAGCCCGCGGCACTCGCTCCCGTGTACCCGGCGTTATAACCACTGTGATTTCCGTGCACGCGACTTTTGCGATAGCCACCGCTGGAATGATTAACGTAGCCCGGCATGGCGCCGTAGTTTGGTGTACCGCCCATGGCTGGTCTTGGTGCGTACTCGGAGCCGCTGTAGGTGTGCTTCTTTGAGCGGAATGGAATACACATCGTGATCGTCAATATTTTATGACCGGAGAGATGTGTAAAGTTTTGCTTTTGACAGGATGACGTTTGTCGGTATCTTCTTCGCTGTGGAAAAATGTTGTACTTGATGACTTGCTATGATATTTGATTTGGTTTTCGCTTCAAGGTAGATGGAACGATGAGTCTGATGAGATTGATATTGGTGATGATACAGATGTAAACACAAAGTCGATGGAAGGAATTGAGGGCTTAAGTATAGTAGTCGCGGGGCACCTAGTCATAGTGAAATAAGTGAGCCCAAGTTTCCTGCCTATCCTACCTGTGTGCCTGCCAGGGGCGAAAGAACAAGCTTCGGTGGAAGCCACGATCACCGGGAAATCTGCCTTCCAGAAGGCTTCTAGCGGCGCGAAGGATCATGGATTGACCAGGATGAGCTCATTAAACTCCGAATAAGCGAATCGCAGGGTCCTGAAAGCTGTCGCCTAAATCAGCCTTGCAATGAGCGACTTTTTGCCGCCATGAGGAGTTACGCAAAGGGGTAAGACGATGTACAATGTGCTCATCTGACCGGAGGGAGTGGATTCACGGGGCTGTTCCGCATTGTGGGGGCACTTGGGGATTCATGGAGGCAAGGAGCGGGGACGAGCTAGCCGGAGTGGGGCCGGATCGGCGTCGCTGGCGAATGACGTAGCGCTACTGGCATAGCCGGGCACCGGGGCGCAGTGCACACAGCCTGGGCATTCAGCCCATGATGTTCAGCCGCACTCTCAGACAACTGCGTCATGCTTGATCTGTCAAGCGAACAGTAGTGCCACGTGAGGGTGAGATGACTCGCCTCGCTGAAGGACTCGCGGCTTTCCGCGGCGCACTTTGCAGGCTGCAGGATTGGAAATATCACTAGAGGCTGGCTTATCATACACAAACGATAGGAGGTATGAGCGATTTTATTCAACTTATTTTTGTAAAGATAAGCGTTGCTAGTAACATGGCTCAAATATTGGGTGGCACGTTATTCTGCTCCTCGTACCGACTTCCTTGTCCACGGCATGGTCCACCAAACAGTCACGAGATAGGAACACCGTCCCGATCTCTCTCTGTCCTTGACTTTTTAGGCGTACTCGAATCGGACGAGAACTTGTCTTTAATTGACTGGATAATGCTCTCTGTGCGAGAGGGACCCTCCGCTTCGCGTCGCTGTTCTTTTTGGGCTTTGCGCTCGGCCTTTTTTGCTGCCTTGAAATCGGCGGGGCCGGGCTCGAATGCCGGGCTGGAGCCGTCGTGTGGAGGCCGTTTGTTGGATGCTTCAATGCCTGCCGTGAGAGGAATGCCGGACATTGGGAAAGGAACTTCCAATTGATCTGCTAAAAATCTGGACAATACTGTTGTATGTTTCGATTACAAAATTCTCGCCTTCAGACTCTTCAAGCGTGATGTGATGTTTGTTGTGAAGATTCAGGATTTCCTGGCTCACGCAGTTTCTCGGCCGAAAACAGGTCACAGATGGAGCCTGGTTCAATTTATACAAAGTTGTTGAGCGATCCCAAGCCTGATCTCCCAGGCTTGGTGACAGGGTCTCAAACATTCAGTACTCAGCGGGATCGGCGCCGCGGCATAGGATCATAGGTGCACCGCCATGCGCTGCCAAGAACAACTACGTATCTGTGTGACACGAATAGAATTCTCTTGTACGAATTGTTGCATCACTTTGATCTATGTCTGAAGTTATGTCGGGATACTCATACAGCAATGGATACCATCTTTGATCATTAATCTCAATCAAAGTATGTTGTCTTGACACCCTTGATGACTTCAAGATCGTTGACCGAATTGTCGCCATTGGACTGGCTTGTGGCGCTAATGTTTTTGATAATCCTCTCCCTCACCCACTCTCCCGCTTTCACGGGCTTACCGTCGCTTCCAAGTATCGCCCCATCAGAAAGGCCAAGGTTCTGTAGAACAGGGGACTCCTTGATCGGGACAAGGTCCGTATCATCCTCTATCCGAACCATGTAGATAACACCCAGACGATCGATGTGTGCTTGGTCTTTTGGAGGCGCCACGACTCTGTGGATGCTAGACTTTAGGTACCCATCTATGGCAGCGTCAATTATCGCGGCGCTTGGAAGGCATTTTAAACAGGTCAACTTACTAGTGAGAAACTGCAGCGCATCAGCAATGTTCACTGTCAGCGCGTCCGTCTGCGGGCGCACCCACTTCCAGGTCCCATCATTTGTGAGGACCTGGAGTGCAGCGACAGGTTGTCGGAAGAGCAAGGTCAGGCTGCCCATATCCGAGTGTCTTCGTTTCGCTTCGTCAGCATCGGGCACATATTCATCAAGCGGCCAAAAAAGATGTCTTCTCGAGAAAATTCTCACCCCTTCAACCAAACACCACCCAGCTTTCGGTTCTCCTCCTCACTTCTCGCGTAATACTTCATGTACCGGAGATGGTCGCCGCTAGATCTCTCATAACGATGCTTCTTGACGAACCATTCCTCGTCCTCGAGATCGAGTGCCAGTGCAAATATGACGAGAAGTTTCCTGACGATTTCGTCGTTGACGTATTTAGAGAATCGCTCAATTGTCGCCAAGTTCTCTTTGACTACGTCGGGGTGCGGTCGTGACGCATGCTCCGGGATGAACTTTGGGATGTTGTAAATCTCGAAGTTGTCCCGAACGCCTGGGATCAGCTCTCTGGTGCCTGGGGGCTTCCAACCATTGAAATCACCGGCCTCAAGTGCCGCTCTGTATGGCGCTTTGTCTTCGTCCGACAGGCTGAGAACGGATGAAGCTAGAGCATACTGTTGGTCAATGGCTTCCCGGCTGAGACCATGATTGATGATATAGAAGAAGCCTGAAAAGTGGGATATCAGCGTCGATTCATGGCTGTAATGATGAATCAGTGATGCATCTATTGTTACGTTACCTATCTGCTCAATCGCTTTCTTGAATTCTTCCGCAAGCTCGAGTTTACCCCCAGGCTTGTCAAATTTCGATAGGTCCAAGGCCACCAGATCTGCCCAATCTAGCTGTTCGGTTGTCTCTGTAGCTTGGACATAAGGTACATGGACTGTAGCTGTCTTCGAGATCGAGGTTGTCATCTTGAAAGGAGAACGAGGGAACTGGTCTTTCCCTCAGGGGTCGCTACACCGAGACTAGCCAGTCTTTGGCTTATTATCTTAAATGTGCGTAAGGTTCAATGGAAAGTGAAACATGTAGGTACTCCTGCAGCAGACACCTCTTTCATTTCAACTTTCTCAATCGAGAACAGTTTCGTGTCGATGCGTTTGCGCTGCAAGTGTTTAGGCAAAGTATGGGTAAGCCCACTATCAAGTTCAGATTTCACCATATGAGAGTCCCGATCCTTTGATAACGGACCAAAGCCGATGTCGGGATACTACAATCAGACCACAGATACCGACGATTTCCCTTTTATGTAAATAGATGTGCCGCCCAATCTCGATGTTGGCCCTTGGCAGAGGATACATCGCTGTGGGGCCGAGGTATTCGTCAGGAAGGATCCAGATGAGGCAATCTGTCAACGGTGCCTCGAGGCGTTCTCGGGAGATGGCGCCGAAAGACCAGGATCTCGGAGTCGCAAGGGTTGAAATGTCAGTCTTAACTTTTTTGTCGGCACGCGTTAGCTACATATACTCGGGAAAGTCACAATGATGATGGATTAAAACGACGGAATGCCTCCAAACTCTTGTTACTGACGTACTTTCCAGAGATACTGGAAACCATCAAAATGACAACCGATACCACGGAGGAAAGCCGTCATACGGCTCTTGGTGATGGATCTTTCACAGTATCAGGAGCAGAAGACAAATATGCACCTAGCCAGGCAGTAAAACTGGAGGCAATCGGCGAGGAAGCTCTTGCCATTGATCCTGTCATTGAGAAGCGGGTGCTGCGGAAAATCGATCTCTTCCTGATGCCAGCCATGGTAATAGGTAAGTGCAGCCAAGTACCCAGAACTCTTTGTAAAAGGGCCGTGCAGTATGCTGACACGCAACGATACGATCAAGGCTACGGCTTGGTTTACTATGATAAGGTTGGAATTTAAGAAGGCTCTATGAAGATTTGAACACGACTCACAGATACGTACAGGCAATTCTTGGGAGTGCTGCTCTATTCGGAATGACTGGTGACCTGCATCTATCCGTTGTCGATGCCTCTTTCACCCCGCCAAAGACCGACACAACGCGACTCAGTTGGGCAACTTCAATCTTCTACTTTGGTCAGCTAATTGGTTCCTACCCAATGACGTACTTACTTCAACGGTTCAATACCAAATGGACACTTGGCCCTGTGGTCATGATCTGGGCAGTCATCTGTGCTGCTACAGCGGGAGTAACTACTTGGCAAGGTCTCTTGGTTCAGCGATTCTTTCTAGGTGAGTTGTCATCATCGAGCGACTGAGTCGATGGCATTAAAATTACAGTAGAGACTGAAGGTGCGCTAATCCTTTGATGCAGGTTTCACTGAGTCTGTCATTCCAACAGCTTTCATGACTACAGTCAGCGGTTATTACACTCAAAGAGAACAAGCACTGCGACAGAGTTGGTGGTTCTCCGGAACTGGCTGGTTCACCATTATTGGAAGCGCTCTCAACTACGGATTCGCTCAAATACAAGGAGGTTTCTTGACTCCATGGCAATACATCTACGTACTTGCTGGAGGGCTGACGTTTTTATTTGGTATTTGGTGCTTTTTTCTCCCCAACTCTCCCCTGACGGCTTGGTTTCTGAGTGCGGAAGAGCGAGTTGTCGCGATTGAGAGACTGCGCCAGGGACAAACTGGCGTGAAAAATCAGACTATCAAGACTGGTCAGATAAAGGAAGCACTACTGGATGCCAAGGTCTGGCTAGTTGCCTTGACAATGGCCTCGGGGTAATAGGAGAGAAAGAAGCTTCCCTCAAAAGCGCACACTAACTGGCTATCAGGTATACTGTCAACGGCGCTGTATCTGGATTTGGTCCCCTCATCGTTTCGACGTTCGGTTACTCGGCTTTGGACAGCATTCTCTTCCAATTTCCACTGGGTGCAATTTGCGCCATTGGTATCCCGATCGCTGGCTGGGTTTGCTCCAAGTACCGCAACATTCGGATCCCGGTACTAATAGGATGCACTCTCCCCGTCATTGCAGGCTTTGTTGTCATATGGAAGTCAGACTGGGGCCATCGTCCAGTTGCCCCTGTTGTCGGATACTCATTGATTGGCTTCTTTGGGCCGGTCGTCAGCTTGACGGTCACCCTCGGAGCTAGCAATGTTGCAGGAGAAACCAAGAAGAGTTTCATGGCGTCTGCTGTATTTGTCGCATATTGTGTTGGAAATATCGTTGGCCCTCAGCTTGTGAAAAGCGAGACTAAAGCCCAGCATTATCCTGAGCTATGGACGGGATTGATTATTTGGTACGTTGAAATCCGGTCGGCACGTCTTTCCCAAGTCCTCTAACAACAGTGCTCTAGCTACTGCATCACCATACTGTCTTCTTCGGCTCTTTACGTTATTATGTGGAGAGAAAATAAGAGACGGGATGCTCTGGGCCTAGACGGAAGTGAGCGGGATAGACTCGCATTCAAGGACTTAACCGACAAGGAGAACGAGCACTTTAGATATGTCCTATAGGAACTGCGTTTCGCTATCCAGATATTTGCTTAGTACCTGCCATGCTTTTGTTCTTCCAATTATTGGATGCTATGCCCCCAGCTTTGTGACCATCCTTCATCGTGCCGACCTGAATTTGCCAAGTCTGGTCAGTGTCACATTTGCTGCGAACCTCTTAGTACATGATGGTACTGTTTATCGTTCGCGGTGGTAGGGGTAGGGGCTTTGTTGCCTATTGGCGTTCTGCTTTGATGAATTGAGCAGTAATACACGCATATAAGCTCCTGTAGCATTGAATCCCGCGTTGCGTTTTCTTCAGGGGTTGTGATGCAATCACCAAAACACCCCACTCTCACCCGCCGTGTTGGTAAGCTGCACATGTTGATCGAGGGATCTTATCACGACATGTCGGACTATAGCCGACATGAGCTGATATTGCAGCCGATATCGCGAATGAAGACTCTCGGATTAGCCCAATGTCCGATGAGACAATTCGAATGGATGGAGGCCTATGTGAAGCTGTCTTCACAAGCGCCAAAGCATTTTAGCAAAAATTGCTCTCGAATTAGGTCCTCCTTCGTGAATCTCCAGTTCATTTTCTAGAAATCTCAATTACTCACGATGCCTGAGAGGATTCGGAGAGTCGCTGTTATCGGCGCCGGTCCGGCTGGGGCCATCGCAACAGACGCCTTGGTTAAGGAACAGGCGTTTGATGTTGTACGCGTCTTCGAACGACGCGACTTGGCTGGAGGGACCTGGTGAGTTCATTCCCGAAGGCGGTCATCCTCATGTCGGTTGGGACTGTGAGTGGGATCTGACCCGTGGGCCTGTAGGGTCTACACTCCTGAGCTGCCGCCCCGAATCCCTTCCTTGCGCACCTTAGTCGAACAACGCGCAAATGCCCCGATCGATATTCCTACAAGCTTTCCCGCAGAAACCCCGAAATCTGAAAAGAACAACTCTCACCAATTGCGATATTCAGATACCGGTATCCATGAGACTCTGCACAGTAATATCACACCCGAAATCATGGCGTTTACACAAGAGCCGATACCCCAGGCCCTGTCCGACCGAACTTTGGCACAATATGGCCCAGGCGCGCCATTCAGACATCGGGAATTGATCAGAGAATGGGTTGAGGGGATCTTCACTCGAGGAGGGCACGATCAGTTGATCGAGTTTAGCACCACGGTTGAGCTTGCTGAGAAAAGGGGGGAGGAATGGGTCCTAACACTGCGAAAGGTTGTGCCCGGGAAGTCGAAGGACTACTGGTGGCAAGAAATCTTTGATGCAGTTATTGTGGCATCAGGTCATTTTTATTTGCCTTATATCCCCGATATCCCTGGCCTTGTTCAATTCGACGAGAAGTTCCCCGGCAAAATCAAGCATAGCAAGCATTTCCGTGACTCGGAAGAGTTTCGGGGCAAGGTACGCCGGCAGTCATCAAGTTGACATATTGAATAAGCAGTTGACCAGTCACAGAAAGTCATCGTTGTTGGGGGCTCCGTGTCTGCGTTTGATGCACTCCACGACATTCGACTGGTCTCCCAGAAGCCAGTAATCGCATCACTTAAAGAACCTCTGGCCGCATTCGGGTGGGCGCCGTTCACTCACCCCGATATCATCGTCAAGCCGCAGATCACCAACTTTTGTCCCAAAAGTGGACTCATCACATTCAGCGACGGAAGTACCGCGGATGAAGTTGACACTGTCGTCTTTGCGACCGGTTATGACTTCAGCTTCCCATTCTTGCCCAAGCAGAAGGTGGAGAACAGACGAGTGCCAGGGCTTTACCAGCATGTCTTCAATATCGATGACCCGACCCTTGCATTTGTCGGAATGGTCTGTCTTTATTTAATTTGAGCTTCGTGCTTATGTGTGACCTAGGTGCTGACTCTCGCACAGGTGACGGGCGGCTTTACTTTCCGTGTCTTCGAGTGGCAAGCCGTCGCAGCGGCACGAGTCTTCGCGAACCGCGGGAAGCTGCCCCGTCGAATTGAGCAAGAAAAATGGGAGAAGGAGAGGTTAGCATACAAGGGTGATGGCATCCCCTTCTTCACCCTGTCGCCCGACTTTGAGCAATACTTCGAGGCTTTGCGGGAAATTGCCGGCGAGCCTGTGCGAGGAACTACAGGAAGAGTGTTGCCAAAGTTCGATCCTAAATGGCTTGAAGCGTTCTCTGAGGTTATCAACGCCAGGGTTGAGTGGTGGAAGAAGGAGACAAGGAAGGCCGAAGAACAAGTAAAGCTTGAGTTCAAGCCGAAGCTATAGGGTGAAGAAATGTGGTATTATGAAATAATTAAGCTGTTTCAATCTGGTCATGGTTTGAACCCGTCCATGCTAATATCAAAGATGCGAGAAAGCTTCCTCAAGTGATGCGCGGTGTGGTATTCCAGGTGCCCATTGAGACAACCTCTCACTCTGTCTTCCGAGGCGTCAACCTCACGTTCAGAGGACCCTTCTTCCACAAGCCAAACAGTTGCTGATCAGTCCAGTTCTTGCTGTCGTCTGCGATTTGCATGTCGAAGTTCCAGATGACCCTGGCAAGAATCACTCGCATTTCAGACATGGCCAGGCTGTGAGGAACAAGTTAGCATATGCTTTGCGCCGTGAATCTTGTTTCAATTGCTTTACTTACTTCCGACCAATGCAGTTCCGAGGACCGAAAGAGAATGGCTGGAGAGCGGCTCTGTCGTCGTTCTCAAAGCGGGAATCTCCAAGCCATCTCTCAGGGATGAAAGAGTCAGGCTCCGCGAAGTACTTTTCGTTGTGGTACATGGGCCACTGAGAAACCATCACTCGGGTCTGTTGTGCTATTGTTAGCAACGCGATACGGTCAGAACTCTAGTTATTAGAGCGGAACTTACACCCGCAGGCACGAATCTTTCGCAGATGTAGTCACCACCGGGCTTGACAACTCGGGTGAGACCCATTGGTACGACTGGGTAAACACGCATGCTCTCGTCGAGAATCGCGAGCATGTAACGGAGTTTCTGAACACTGAGAACATCGATCTCTTGCTCTGAGTTGAATTGTGTGCGAACTTCCTGTGCTAACTTGGCCATGGCCTCGGGGTGCATCGTGAGGAAGTAAGTTACTCCCGAGAGCACAGATGCCGTCGTCTCCGAGCCGGCGATGATCAAGGTGTCTGCGGTCTGCTCAATTTCCGGCTTCGACATGGCCTTCAGAATGAGTTTGTCAGTTTCGATGCGCAGGAACGATGAGATAGATATGCTAAGGAACAGACGTACCAAGGGGCCTTCTTTCATCATCATAGACTGGACGAAGTCCGGCCTTGATTCGCCGAGTGCCATGCGACGCTGGACCTTCTCCTGGCTCATATCGTTGTGGAACTTCGTCTTGTTCTTCAACTCTTTTGGAATCAGCCACTTGGCGAATGGACGTGTGATCCAGTACCTCTGGAACTGATTTCTCCATACACCGGCATGGATGTTGTCGAAAATAATTGACACCCACGGGTGATAGTCCGAATTCTCCAGACAACCAAAGGGCTCACCAAAGGCCAGGTCGCCAATGATGTCAAAAGTCGTCCAGTTGTACCACGAAACCATGTTCAACGCCTTTCCTCCATCCTCGCAGTTCTCGTGGAGTCGTCGGATCAACAAGTCAATCTGCGTTTGAATCAGGGGTTGCTGATCGACCATGGCCTGGGCGGAGAATCCGTGGGCTAGAACGCGGCGAATACGTGCATGATCCTCACGGTCGGAGTTGATGATGCTGTGCGGCTTGTACCTAGCATTGACGGGGTCCTTGTAGTTCTCCATACCGCCACCGCCCTTGCTGTGTCCCATCAGGTCTTTGAAAGCGCGCGGGTCAGCCCAGTCGATTGTGTCTGGGCCGAGCCTGACAACAGGTCCATATTGCTTGTGAAGCTCTGCCAGTCTCTTGTGAGCTTTACCGCTCATGATCATTCTACTGAGCGGGATACGGGTAGCGGCATGGAGCTTCGGCCCTGGATAATCTTTGAGTGGGTGGAAGTAGATATTGTAGACCACCCTCGAAATCAGACGGAAAACACCCTGCGTTGCCAATTAGCATGTGATTTTCAATACCAACAGAACACTGCAGCGATATTTACCAAGGCAACAAGAACGATTGGCAACGCGACCGCCAGCCGCACATTGCCTAAAGTCGAGATATCGTGTGGAATGATCATGTTGGATGCTGTAGTGTTGTCGGCAGACCGCCCTATGGTTAATTACTTAGCTCTGATGAAAAGTGAACCCTTTCTGCCCAATAGCTTGCCATTTTATCGATGGGATGGTGAGCAGCTTATATCTGCCTAAATGCAGACAAACAACTTGTTTCCGGGTGCATGCTCGCCGAAGACGCGAAAGACACGTTTACGACCGGAGCCGAGCCCGCCCCGGGGATGAACGGTGTAACCTCCAACCAATGGAAGCAATACGGCTTCCCGTCCGATGACCTCTAGTGACGTTATACTGCGCAACGTCGAGGCGGGGGAGCTGTGTTTGTTGGGGGCTTGAGCGTAGAACGGCATTTGGGATGGTGGGACGCCGCGTTTCATAGCCACACACATCTGACGGCGTTGGCCATGAGGCCGCGGATTTCGGGCTGCTGGAGGGCTCCGGATGATGGTCCAATGTTGAGTCTTGCCTTACTTGTTCGACTCGTCGAATGTATTTAGTGTGCGGTGTTGGTACGAGCGAGGGTGCGAATGCGAACGCTGGAATACGATGGGAGTGGCAAGGACTGTCTTGGGATAGGATCGCATTGATGTGGGCGCGAGTCGTTTAGATGACAGCTCCTTGCGCCGGGAGCTCGATGATCTTCAGGGTCGTGGACTCGCGTCCCGGACGAGCGTTGCCGGCGCAGCGCGGAGTGCATATGCAAGGGCACAGCGCGGGGTTGGGAGAGAAGCTAGACTCTCCGCCGGCAGGAATTGGAGGTTTCTTCGGCGCCGAACAGTCTACTCCGTGACACCGATGCTCGGGTTGCTGTAGAGCTACGGTTTGTGGCAACGTTGCTGACTGGTGTCGAGATCGGCAAGGTTGTGCCGCCATCACAAAGGCAGGTGTGCTCAGCTGAGGCGATAGAGGCTGCTTATGCTCGTTGTAAGTTACGCGGGCCGGCGGCTGACATGTCCAGTGTAACTCATCCTAAGAGGCGCTTACATGTTCACAATGCAACGCCTCTTTGAGCACAGCCAAGACCGTTCACTTGGAGAGTTCAGTTGAGCGGCCACAATGGACCGTCGGACATTGATAACTCCATACGCTAGATGGCATAATATCCACTGAAAAGCCCCTTAGAAAGTGGCCCTTAGACAGTGGCTCTGTGTCGAACTCTCAGAGTTTAGTGGCCAATTTCCCTGCCATTACCTTTTAGCTCAAGACCAAAGGTTCGTCGGGGAGGTTCCGTTGAACTTAGGAGTTCACAAAAGACCCGAACACTATCGCAAACTAACCTGAGATGTACACTTAGTTGATGAGTATCGGGAAATGCATTCAACTATGGCCAGCTGGGAGCCTCTGCAACTTCTATTCGCATCACTTACCCCCGGCAGTTTCAATTCTCAGTCTCAGGCTCGCTGAGGCGACAATCATGGGCGCTTTGGCCAGTTGATCCTGGCAGACAATGCTGCTGACTACTCAGCATCAATCAACAGACCCATGAGCTCTCCTCAACACTTGACAGCTTGGCGACACGTGATGAGACACTTCCAGATTCATCGCAATCTCAGGGGGTTCGCAATCATCGGATACGAGGTCTAGATAGGGAGTTGCCTCAACAAATAGTCCGCTTCTTGGTCTGTTCATCTGCGCTCGCTCGAAGTCATAACCGCAAGTCTCGTATCAGCGAGTTGTGAGGGACTCTCACAGAAACACTGCGTCCCCGCAGCAATCAAGAGGATCTGAGTGACCGGTAACGCCGGCCGAAGAGTCATGGAGACCGCTTTCAAGCGTAAACCCCTGCCGGGCCCTCCGCCGGGTCTGCCGCCGCCTCCGGATTTCGACCCCTTTCCCCAACGTCAACGACCTCTCCGCGCCGCTCGGTCGACGCCAAATATTCGGCAGTCTGTAGCGACATCCATCTACGATCCGCCTCCAGCGTATGAGGAGTTCCCTGGACTCGATGCGAACGGTCGCCTGGCTTTCGCCGCTCCCGGCGCAGGTTTCGGGCCTGAAAGGGTTCCATCACCGATTCCTCCAACCCCAGGATCATACTTTTCTCCCAACATTCCTCCCGTAGCTGCTCATAAAGAATATCTACCTTATCCACCATCGCCATCGCCTTCACTTGCAGCAGGTGACAAAGACTTGCCCTCTCCGTCCATTCCAGGGCCATCCTTTCCTGGGCCTTCAACAGCTCAAACGTTCCCGGTGGCAGGTTATCGTCCTTCCCCATCGCCCACACCATCTAGCCCTGGATCTTTTTTCCCTGGCCCTCCCACAACAGCGGAGACGTTCCCGCTGGCACATCGGCCCCCTTTATCACCCAGTTACGCCCCATCAGAAACCGCGTCAACAGAGTCTCAGTCAAAAGAAAAGACTTTCTGGCAAACTGCTCTAGACGAGACAAAGTATTTCGCGGGCGGACTAATAAGTCATCCGTTCGAGTACACCAAGCATTTCTCCATCCTCCGCCACTCGGGCGCGCTCGTATGGTACCGCGGCCCCTCAACTTCCATCACCATCACAATCTTTTCCGATGCTCCTCTGCCACCTACGCGGACGGTATGGTTGCAGCAAAAGGGCTTCTCAGGGAACATGGGCATGAATCTGAAATCTCTAGTTGGCGCGAACACATCATGGCTCGACGTGACGCCTTCTATGCAGGGGACGCCTGCAGCCATGGCCGAGGGTGATGAGAGGGGCTGCCAGCGTGACTTGAAGAAGTTTCTCAAAAAGGCACCCAAAAATCTGGCAAAGCATGTGCCGAGGGAGACACACGTCGTGCGCATACCCGCGGCCGCCGATGATGGGTACTTCCGGCTCGTGCTATGCGCTGGAGGCGGTGGTGACGGGAGCAAGAGGAAAGTTCTTTGCCCCAGCCCCGTCTTTCGCGTCGCGAGTACGTCCACGGATATGAGTGTTACCCGTGGGGCGAGTTTTGCTAGCATGCCTCTGGAGCTCGGGATCAAGGCCGGCTCTGTCGTTGCTACGACTGTCGTCAATCGATACATCGGACCAGCTGCCGCTGTGGTACAGTCCAGGACGAAGAAGATCTCGCAAGCAAAGTTTGTGACGAAGCACGCCGCGCATATCGCGTACGCGAAGTCGGGGATAGAGAAGTCTGGCATTAAGACGCATGTTACGGCATACGAGGAGCAGTATGCCACCACAAGGGGTGGAGGATACGATGCCTGGCAGTCTGGCGAAGCTGGGTTCCAAGAAGCGCCTCCCGAAGTTATTGGTCCCGATTCTGGTCCTACCGATCCATTTCCAATCAAGTTCGACGGGAAAGTTGTTCGCGGTACAGGAAGAGGAGGCATGGAACTGGGCATACCGACAGCGAACCTTGAGGGCATACCAGAAGACGTGAGGATGCGAATGCGCGGCGTCTACTTCGGCTGGGCTAGGGTCGTTCCCCGATCCGGATTGGAACCGATATCGACAGACTGGCACGAGAGCATTATCACAGTCGGCCCCGCGCCGTATGCCACACCACGTGTAGCCGCCAAGAACGTCGCCACGGTACACCTGATCCATGAGTTTGGCGGCGCTCTATTTCTCGACACGAAGCTCAAGGTTCTCGTCATGGGCCAGTTGCGGATGGCTGCGCCTCCTGTTGCTGGTTCTGAAGCCGCGCTTGAGGCCTACGGGGCGGATGTGTTACTCGCTGTGGCGAGTCTGAGTCGTGACAATTGGTGTCCTATCGAGACGCGGGAGAGGATGAGGACTATGCGGAGCGAGATGAGCTTGGCTGATCGGTACGTTGAGACGAGGGACAGAGTTCAGAAGCAAGTAGACCGTATTCCGGTTCACTTAGCTGGAGTGAGAACGGAGGGTGCTGCCTTGAGAGACCGGGCGTACGGGAATGGAGGAATTTGGATCCCGAGATGATGGTCGGGACTCGCCTGATCTTGAAGTCTCCTTGCACAACGCTTAATGTTCACATCTCGACACCGGGCGTGAAGATACTTTGTTACTTAGTAGACTTTTAATATCGTTAACACACTTAGGCAGGCAGGTACCGAATAAACCTTCCACTCGTTTATCCGTATATTCATCTCATCTACACGAATATACTAAAAACGATACCCATATAGGTCCCAACAATTCCATTCCAGTCACCAGCCAGGATGCGCCCCTCTAGGTCGGGGGGCCAGGACAAACAGGCTGGGCAGTGAAAGGGTTAGAGGTCCGACATTCAATACGCCCACAGCCTCCTCAACGACAGGCTCCGAGTTCGATTCCCAGCATATGCACCAAGAGATGTAGCTACACCGGTGGTAAACTCTTTTTTGATCTTCCAGACCTCTTGATACGGACAAAAAACAAAGTTTATATATAGTCTTCTTAATCGGGCGATTGCATAACTGAATTACACTATAGAAATTTCTGAACATGTCAAAATCCATCCATGTGAAGGCAGATCTTCATTATATTGTCCTCGTCTCGTGTCGAAACCGTTTCCTATCTCCGTGCCTTTTTTCGCTAATCTTGGCCTCAAAGATGTATCACACCGATTCTACCTGGGGTAGCACGTTATTCTTGATGGCGTCCCAGCAGTGATCGCAAAGCTCATGACTCTTGATGTCATCGATCGTCTCAGCGACCTGTCGAATGAATTGTTAGCGTACTGATGGCTCCGCCGCATGAGACGATAACAATCGATAGATACAGCTTAGGGGTGACTTACTTCAGCCAAGCAGCCAAGCTTTTCCTTTTTGCCAACCTGGCCAATGCCCTTGGTACCCACAACGTCAATGAGGCACTTCACAGACGTGAAGCCGAGCTCCACTCCGCATCTCACGATGTTGCATCCGTCAACCACGAGTTGATCGTCACGTTCGAGCAACTCTTGCTCGGCTTTATCGAGCTGATCCAACACAAGTTTTCCAGCTTTACTCAAGGCGTGAATCCCATCGGATAAGCCGTCCAGGACGCCATCGAGGAATCCAGGCACTGGAGCGGGTGCTGGTGAAGGAGATCGCGAAATGTAGTTTGGTGCGAGCCCAATCGAGAGGGAAAGCATAGAGAGAAAGGCGATTAGAGAAATGAAGGTCTTCATCTTGTGTGCAGTCAAACTTGCTGATTTGGTTGTCGAAGCAACTTTTGGTTCTGTTGCAGCTCTAGGCTCATTTGCATGGTTTGTGGTCTGCGACGACGCAGAGGAATGCTCGCCCTTTATGTCAAGATTTCCCGGCCCTCTCTCCGTCTGAATTGTGCACTTCTCATGCCTGAGATGACCTATTTTGAGACCAACGAACTTCGAAGTCTCCTGCATGAGAGCTGCCTCTCGACTCCAAGGTTTCCATCACGCGCGAAACCGTTACGTTCTATTTTGGCCAGAGCCTGCTTTCAAGCTGAGCTCTGGAAATGCGGCTTTTTCCCCATGTGTCCACGAAAGGGGCTGTGCGAATCCTTTTACAACGAGGCTGCAAAAAACCAGATAAGTACTTGCATGTAAGCGCCGAGAAGGCTCCAACAATGCATACATATTCCTGTTGATTTCCGTCTGGTGGGTAGGACAAGTATGCTTACCCCATTGCAAAAGGTCTTTCCGGGGCCAAGCAATGCCAGTTTCTCAGTCACCGGTCCCTCAGTCAAATTACGGTGACGCTCTACTGTGAATTCACGTCGATAACTCCACTGTTCCTAATCATTTGCGTAGTTTTCAAGGTCTCGCTCGTCGCCCGTAGCCTTTGAGACCATATATAGTCTGCACTTAAAGGCCTGTGTGGTGTGTGGAAGCTGGGCGCCTACTTGCATCTACTTCGATGTTGCGGGTTTGATGCCCGACTGCCATCCTGGGTTTACAGGTGTAACCAAGATACACGCCGGAGACTTGCAGTTGTATTTTTTGCGAATAACAATACGTCGGCGTGGTTCAGTTGGGCCAGTGGGTTACTGTTGGTTACCACTGTTGACCGCAGCAGCGAGTCAGCCCCTCACTCTTGTACGATGTCAGACTTCTCAAGAAGGCCAAAAAATCGCTCATGAGTCTAGACCACTATCTCTATACTACTTCAGGCTCTAATGCCTCTGATGAATTACTCTAATTACTAGTTCAATCTTAAGTCTTGTAGTCTGTCAGACCGCCGTAATCCTTGATGAAGGTTCTACACATTTAGCCCCTCTCCCAGAATCGGCAGGCTCGCTAAAGGGCCCAACAACATCAACATAAAGCATGTGTGAAACCACACATTGCCATCAACCCCTTTTGAATACAATGATAGTCAAATCAGGAAATCCGAAGTAGATCAGGCATAGAATGAGCAGGTTCTTCGTAAGCCCCAATGTTCATTCGTCCAATTTAGGCTTTGGGTTGCCCATAAAATAATCAAAACCCCGCGGCTTAGCCTGTCACAAACCTGCTCCTTTGTCTCAACTTCCCGCCATACTTGAACAGAAGCCAAGGAATTGGTATTAGAGGAAGTGAGAGGAACGCAAACACGCTGCCAGCCCAGTGCACGCCAAGCTTCTCGTACATCTGGATGGTGAACAGGGGGAAGACAGCACCCAGTATGTATCGAAGGATACCATTTGCGGCAAGGGCTGAGGAGTAGGTTAGAATTACTTTCGAAGAAATAAAAAAGCTTCCAGAAGGAGGTTTATGGACTTACCAGATGCCGCGGCTTTCTGGCCATAAAAGTCGACCATGTAGGTGATGACAGACAACTTGAATGAGTTAGCTATAGCTTCCATTACGGACTGGGAACCTTATAACTTACGAATAAACAAAACGCGCCGAGCCCGAATGGGATACCAGCCGCGACCAAGGCAGCCCAGTGACCCCCACGATGGGCTTCCCATGCATACCAGAACAATCCCACAGGAAGGGCAACACTGCCGACGAGCGCTGCATACAGTCGCTGCTCGGGGAAACCTTTGCCGGCTTGTACAGCAGGTATCCTGAACCTCGCATCGAGGAAAGCAAAAACAAAGGTTGCGAGGAAATAGCCAATGACGATACTTAGGAAGCTCAATCCTACTTCTCTCAGATTGAATCCGTAGTACTTCTGGAGCACGTAGGAACAGCTGCCGAAATAGCTGAAGATCATTGCATAGGCGAAAGCTGTGTAGATGGCCAGCGATGATACAATGACCTCAGTAAGCAGCATTTTTGTCGGTCTCATGACCGCGGTCCGAACAATGCTGCCAAGTCGCGCGAGAGTGATGGGTTCTTCCCCTGACTCCTTACGCAGGATCCAGGCTTTTGATGTCTCCTTCATCAATATAGCACCGAACCAGATCGGAGCACCAACCATGAGAAGAACATATTGCGTCCATCTCCAGTTGTTGTCTCTGTCGTGTATGATATAAGCCCCGGCCAAAGGCCCCAAAGTCGGTCCCAGAAACGGGCCAAGAATATACAACAATGATGCTCCAGCCCCCTTGCCGAGTTCCCAAACATCGGCAATGGTTCCTGCGCCTACAGCAATACCGGCAGAGCCCAATGTTCCTGCTACGAAACGGCAGGCGAGAAGACCAGAGAACGTGGTCACCGCCGACGCACCCCCAAGGAATGCGAGGAGAAAAGTACAGGACCCGGCGTAGATCCATTTGCGGCCGATTACTTCGGAAAATGGTGCAATGAAGAGGGGTCCGATGGCGAGACCGAGTGTGTAGAGCGTCAACGGGAGGATGGACTTCGTGCGTGAGACGGAGAAATCTTCCATAATTAGGCTGGTCGCGGGGACTGTAATTGAGGTTGCGAACGTGCTGCAGGATTTTCCAACGTTAGATCAGAGTTTAGGGAAGTCAATGATAGGAAATAGACCAACATCTCGAATGCCAAGAAGCATGGGATCGCGGTGTGAAAGAGCCTCGAAAGCAAGCTCCAGTTCTTGGGGTTTCTCGACTCACGAGGGTCGTCCCATGCGAGTTGTTGTTGACCACCATCTTCGAAAGAGGTGCTGTCCTCACCTGCCTTCTTTTCGACATCTTCTTCCGGTCGGTCCATTACTGGAGGTTTGATAGAAGATGCTTGGCTTGTTGAACTCATTTCAGCAGCGGTGATCATGCCCTGGAGACACTGCCGCCGGTTCTTGTGATGAGGGGATGCTTGGGTTATCTAGAAACCCGATGCCACGGCCCTGGAATAGGGAGATCTATATACCAAGCAAAATTGGGCTAAGATCTGTTGAGTTGATAGGAATATCGGCGTCTAGCGTTGCTGAAATCCGTGTCATCGGTTATTGCCTTTCCGGATTTCGGGTGGCAGGTGGACCTGACCAACTGCTCACGCCGAAGCCTCAAAGGTTAAAAGAGCGGACGACCTTGTCTTGTCTCTGATTCATATTTCTCACCAGAGGGTCCGTAAGCGCTACCTTGATGTTGGCCTTCATAACCCTCGGCCTATGGCCCTTTTGGTTCTTAAGGTGATTACTGATCTCAGATGAACAGGAATCTACCGGTGGGATGAGGCAATGAGATGAACCATCGTGTTAAGCTATGGCCTGACCGTTGGTTCAGCGTTCGAAGTCAAAAGTCAAGATGCGCAATTTTATGTTGTGGGATCTTCGAATTGATGATCCCTCACCATATTGTCCGTGACTATTTGACATCGTGAATTCCCGACAGTACTATCTAAGATCGCGAATACGGCATACTGCTGCTGATTAGTGAACTGGCCCTCGGCTGGCGCAGTCACGCTAGCGTCCCAAGAATTTGCCAATGAATTCATGCAAACAGAATCCCTGTGAGCGCTGAGAAGCTCGAATTACGTCTTGAGCGCATGAGTAGCGTGGGGGATCTAGGGCCTGGTTGGTCCAATCTCAGCAGTTGAATGAGACCAGAGCCAACATCGATGTCGTTTTATTAGTGCAGCTAAGATACTCGGAGCAAATTACATAATTCGAGAAATCCTAGAATCTAGGACGGGCGGTGCTTACAGAGTACACAGGTACAAATTCATGCTGCTCACCGGCGTACACTTGCCCCTGCCTCGCCATGCTCAACAACTAGGGCCAAGCATTCTGCATCATCTTCATCACTTATAGATAGCTACCGTCCATTCCTTCAATACAAACCGAGTCCATTGATACTATGATCTCCGTCTTTAGTTGCTCGATGCCTTCTGGCTCTTGCGGAGCAATCAGAGATAATACAGGTAGCTCAGCTGAGCCATGTCCCAATTTCCAGCGCAATTTAGAAGACTAAGACGGGGGGTCTGCGGGAAGTGAAGTTTCTCAACTTCTTTCTAGCTCAATGTGCTCTGCTACCTAAACGGAACATCTAGGCTGCAATGAAATCCTCGGTTCTGAGTGGCGCAACAGCTCTCGGGAGGCCAACGTCACGTTGAGGCCGCAAATGCGACTGGACTTGATCCGCAAATTCACCTTTCAAGTCGCTAATCATCCCCTCAATATCATAGTCCCAGATCTTGTGCGATCTTTCCTCGAGGTCTTTGAGACATTTGTTCCAGTCACGCATAGTGTCTGGGTGGTTCCACTCGTAAATCTCGCAAGCCTCGCGGCTGCTCTTGACCAGCCACTTCCCACGAGGTGGTCGAACAATGTCGTAAGCCCGGAACATAGCCTCTAACAATGCAGACTTGTCGTGTTGCGTAGGCCTGGGTAGTCCTTGCAATATCTTTGTACCCTTTTCGAGTAAAGTGGCCAAAGCTAGCGCATCTTCGACGCCCATACCAGCGCCGGCTCCGTGATGAGGAGTGGAGGCGTGAGCAGCATCACCTGCAAGACAAAGCCTCCCTTTGACGTATGTTGGAGCAGGGTGGTCGTAGGTATCGAAAATAGCCCATTTAGTTACCTCATCTGGCAGCAAGTCGATAAGACTCTTCACTGTAGGGCCCCAGTCTTGGAATACATCAAGCACCTCCTTCCTCGCCGTTGAAGTAGTCATGTTGACAACGCCATCGCCCATCTTGTCCCAATCTGTAGTGTCGTCGGCAAAAGCCACAAAGTTGAGGATCGTGCCACCTGCCACCGCGAAATGCAGGACATGTGCTCGCGGACCAGTGTGACAATGCTCGTTGTAGGCTTTGAAGCTTCCTATTGCGGCTACTGCGCGATCCATAGGTATCAATGCCCTGTAGGCAACTTTGTGACTGGAGTGAGGGTACGCGGCGGGACTATCCGGTCCGAGAACGAGCTGTCGGACCTTGGATTTAATGCCGTCGCATCCAATAACTTGTAGGCATCAGTAACAAGAACCGTAGAAACGTAGTTGGACGTGGGAATTGAATGATGATGGAATAAAAACGCGTGAACTCTTACCTGCATCAGCGCTGGATGTGGTGCCGTCTTGAAAATGCAAAAGCACCTTTTCTCCTTTTTCTTGACCTGTCACATTTACTAGTTTCTTACGGAACTCAACCGCATCGTCTGGAATGAATTTGACAAGCTCGTCTAAGAGATGAGCCCGATGACACCCAATGAATCCCTCATGCCCAGTATCAAGGTTATAAAGAGGCTTATCTTCCTCGTCAGGGCGAGTCTCATCCCAGGTATATCCATCGTTAAAACGGAGGCACTCTTCGGGCTCTTCCTCATTCTCACCGTTGTGTGTAGCTACGGCGTTGACGGCCTCCTCAATGGCTGGATTTAGTAGAGCCATGCACTTCCTTGCATTGGTGGTGAAGCCGATTCCGGCGCCGATCTCGCGGAAGGAGCGGGACTGTTCGTATATCTTGACAGGAATGTTCCGCTTGAGTAAACCCAGCGCAGTGATGAGACCTACAATTCCGCCACCGACGATGGCAATCTCCAACTTTTCGTTGGCATCCGACATGATTGAAGAGAAGCTATTATTGACCTATTCGTAAAGGAAGTCTTTGGTTGATTGAAAATGTAACGGGTTGATTGTTTCCAGATTATATCTCAATTTACATTGAATAAGAACAAAGTACTCCACGGTTGATGGCGCTTACTCATTTGACTGCACATGTGATATCAACCTTTGACTGATGTTAGGTGCACGGCCTGAAACACCGGAGTTCGCGGTCTTCCTGTCCGGCGGATGATGATCTCATCCAAACACTGTTCAGAGCAAGGACGGCCTCACCGACGGACTTCGGCTGTCGGCCCATCGCCCTTTATCATATCACTCTAGCCTGCGGAGACGGAGATAGGGTCGAAGTGCACCCGAAACTTTCTCGTGACAACGCGAATATCTCATGTAGATTTTGTAGGACAGCCAGTGGTGGCAGCTTCCAAATAACTACTTTGATGGCCGACATATTCACTGCATGGGGGAACTACCTCCGAAACTCAACCGAAATACATTTGAAGTAAGCGACCAGATGTGATTGCAAGAATGTTTTCATACGCGCCCAGAGAAGACCAAGTTTTCCATTCACTACTCGTCAATGATCCAAGGGATACCTAATCCCCCATACTTGGTTCTTCGATCAACAAGTCCATGAGAGAATCAGGCCTCGCCAAGGCATCCTCATATCCAAATCGAGGAGCTTCTGGCTTCGGGATATCTTGGCAAAATCCATTTGCAGTTTTCAACTCGCTTAGAATCTCATCCATCGTCTTGATCTCATCTTCCAATGGCATGCCACGTTCCTGAAACCTGACCAGAGCTTCCCGACATAAATGAAATGGCGCTGGTGTAAATGGGTGGATCTGGAAAACGTTGAAATCGCATAGTAAGATATTTGACAGGCGTGCGATCTCTCTAGCTGCTACCAGAGCTTGTTCCTCACAGCCATCGACGAGATGATCGTACTCTGCAGTGGTATCTGGCATCGTCGCGGCCACCTCCAAAAGCGATAGTGAAGCGACTTGGGCCACAATCCTGGCAAGCAACGTCATAGATCCAGCGCGATGGGATACGGGGAGGGCCTGCAGACGGGAAATCTGGCGCGTGAGAACGGAGTCCATAAATATGTGGCGCTCCCAAATTTGAGCAGACGTGGTCCTGCCTTGATGCCCAGCGTTCGATCGACTCTTGTGGGTTTGAATTTGACCCGACATGTAGATGGATAAGATGAACTCTGAGAACGGATGTTGCTTTGCCGGCGTCTGTAGCTCCAAAGTTTCTGAGAGAAAAGGAGAGATGCCCGGTGCGCAAGTTTGGAATTCTTCTTCAGAGCATGGAAGCCGAGTATGTATCTGAAAGCATTCTATGGTTAGTAACTACAACTCATTACGCATCTTCAGTAGGTTTTGAGGACTGGGCTCGTAATGCTGATAAATAAGGAAAGGGCGAGTACCTCAGATTCAGTGAACGTCCGGGGCAGATCATGAACCAAGCAAATAATAGTGTCTAGACACAACGCCATCCAGAATGTCCTTCTCTTCTCCTCTTTCTCAACAAATGAATCCGAGTCCTCGCTTGACCCCGAGGCTTTGTCGCACCTTGCGTCAATACTGCTCAGATGCAGGAGCTGTATCAAGCGTATCGCTCGACCTGTGCTCACCCATGCACGATGTAAACCGACTTGCATCAACTCATACATCGATATGAGAATCCACGCCTGGGCCTGCTTCAGCAGACCCTCTTCTTTCTCCACTAGACTGTCAGGAGAGTCTATATTCCTGAGCCGTTCAAGGGCTTCGCGGTACATGGTGTCGCGGAAATGTTGAAACTGCGACGACAGTGAAGACGCCATCGCCCACATTGCATACTGTAGAGATGTATGTGAAAGTTTGGTTCCGTCCGAAACAGAGCGGCTGTTCATTGTTGGCCTCTTTTCAAAATGCTTTGATATGCGAATGTATGAGGATTGGTGTAAGAAAGGCGTAAATGAGTGAACTCGGTCGAAGTAAAGTTGATCACTGCGTCCAATGTTCAGCCACGAGGTACAGATATCGTTTTGACATCTTGATATAAATCTTGGGACAATTACTCACAGATCAACTCTCATCAAAGGCCCAATATTCTGAAAATTTCCAAGCGCAGGGGCCTGTAAGGCCGGCAGTACACCCGCGTAGTTAAAGGTATCGTCAGCCAGGACAGGCAATGGAGTGAAATCTACCGGACCAGGTATCTGAGTCGGGACATCTGATCGTGCCTGGTAGGTCAAATCCGCGTCGGAGGAAGAGGTGAAGTAGTCCCTAGCAACAGACAAGGTCTCTTGAGGACTATCAAGACTGGAACCATCAAGGTCCGAGCTTGATGAAGATTCGCAACTCCGTCTCAGGGCTTTATTCACCTCTGCTGAACCGCTCTCACTGCTCCTCGCGAGGCGCCGTTCGAGAGTGGCTATATGTACTCACCCTGTCAGTACATGTATCAATAGTATAAAAGGTTGTATGATGACTACAGGAAGGATATGTCGAATGCTGCAGGAAAGACTTTGCCGACTGACCGATTCTTGTTTGAAGCACCTCAAGATGATCTCTCTTGGATATTTGAGTTGGGACAGCCGGGGCGCTTCGGCAACGCACACCGGTACGAACACACCCGCCGCAAGGATGCTTTCGGTCACATCTCAGCTTGCGTTTCTGACACTGCCGGCAGGTCAAATCAGGGCTGCGACGGTTATCACGGCTCGTTGCCGGGCTGCTGGGCATTCCGGTCTCGTCCGTTGTCGATGCTGCCGTGGAATGGGGCGGCGTTGGGCCATTCGGCCCATTCTTTGGGTGCGACTGGCATAATACGCCACGTTCGAAGCAAGGGAGACAGAAGTTGTTCCCGTCCATCGATGTTACGAGGAGCGTCGTTGAAAAGGTGCCGATTATGGTGGGCTCGATGTAGCGTCGGCTTGATACTGAATAGGTCCAACTTGCGCCTACCAAAACACTAAATGCACGTCAATCAAGACGCTCACTTTGAGCCACCAAGAAGCGGTTATGTATGCTACATAGCTACCGACTTCCACAGCGTTTGCCACTTTAGCGGCGTGATCTAAGGTCAGATAAGCAACAACATGCTTCCCTTAACATGGGTAAAGTGTGACAGGACGATCCTGGTTTTTGATGAAAAAACATATGAATTCTACCAAACCGCGCCATTGCGAATTTTGTGATGATGCTGAGGAAAAGGAAATCGGCCCCTGAAAGTTCCCATCACCGACGCTAGTGACCTGGTAAAGGGCAAACTTTGCTGTTTGCTTGCTACCAAGGGTGCTTGCCCCTTTCCTCGGGATAGTGATCCGTCGTGCCGCCCGCTTCATATTCCTTTTCCGGGCCCCGCTTTCCCCTTGCTTTTGGCCGTTGTGTTTGCTTGTTTGCTCCCTCGGCTGATAGTTTGCCTATTAGTGCCTGACTTGATCTTTGATGCGTCTTAAAATGAGTTCTCAATTATGTGGTATCGAAATAACAGGGCAAACTCGAAATCTTACACGTGCACGCCATCTAAGGTACTCTGCAACTACTCACTGGGCACTGCAAGCGCCTCATCAATCGTCTTCCAAGTGTGTTCTTTGACCTTTTTCAGATCCTCTTCGGCGAAGATAGCTTTGTTGCCAACCACGTTGCCATTCTGATCGATACAGCTCCAAGATGCGCCGTCCTTCCCGGAGGCCTCGTCAACTCCCTTCAGAAGTTTCTCGGCGCAGGTATCAGCCGGTACACCCATCACATTGGTCAGGAGTTTTGTCCCAGCCCGAAGATACCACGGCATGGTATGGAAGAGATTGGTCTGCACGATGCCAGGGTACGCGTGGATAAAGTGCTGCTTCTTGTCCTTATTCTCAGCCGCATAGGTCTGAATCATGGCGTCCGTCATGGACAGGCAGTGGTCCGCTGCTTTTTGCAGGCTGAAGTTCCTCTTCAGGTCCAAGTCGTCCCAAATCAGCTTCGTTGGGCTTCCGCGTGTGCTGTCGAGGACGATGAGGACTTTGGCGTCGTCTTTCAGGATAGGGCTCAGTTCGCGGATGAGAAGCTGCCTGCCGTAGTAGTGAAGCGCCATCTTGCGATCGATTCCCTCGGACGTCTCGGTCCGGCCCGCCATGGTAAGAATACCCTGAGTGAGAACAAGGAGATCGATTTCGGGATCATCAAGTGATTTGTAGACGTTCGTGTAATGCTTGATGGAGCGCATGGAGGATGCGTCCAAGGCGCGGAACTTGATGTTGGGGTGAGGGATGTCCTTGGGTTCGGTGCGGCCGCTGATGGTCACTTGAGAAGAAGCCGAAGCTGCGGCAAGGCGGCAGGCAATGGCGTAGCCAATGCCACCCGTACCTCCGACGACTAATGATCGTGTAGCCATGACTTGCTATGAGATGTGGATGAGATAGATGGTGGTGCGGACGGCGTTGTCGTTGAGGAATTCAAGCTCCTTATCAAAACTTGGAAGCTGATATGAGCTTGGCTCGGTGAGTGGTTAGGCCGATTCCGAAAACGATTGAAGATCCCTAAGTCCGCAACTTTGCGCCATCTGATTGGCTCAATTCATCTGGCATTTTTCATTTCATGCAAAGGAAGCTTTCTAACTCCGCAAATTCCGCGTAGAGCTTATGTTTTGCAGTTGTCTACGAAGCTGGTCTGATATATCATATGATGTAGCATTAAAGGTCTTACCTGTGAACATGTGATGTTTAAGGTAGTAAATAGGTCCTCGAAAACACTCCGATCGTCCGGTCGTTGTCTTTTCTTGCGTACTACGGAGTACGCCCTAACCTCTTATCTTTCCGCCGCTTGCAGCTCTCTCGGCCGTGGATGATTCTGAGCTGAATTCTAGGAGAGCCTGGACTTATACCGGGGATGAATTGACGACGGAGCGGATGGAAAGGGGATGGAAAGTACCCTTGAGCCCGGGCTCCGCAGCTTTCAGTCCGCCGTAATTCGGAATATCCTACATCCATTTTCCGGCCGTGTTATTTATAGCATCAACAGAGTCCAACATTCACGTGACCCTTTCTGACCTTACGTAAGTACGTACCAAGGATGAGCCGAAGTGCCGGACTGGGGATCTTCCCTTGGACCAAGTCGGCCACCTTACTGCATCAGTGCATAGCAGGACCCCAAGAGCTCCGATTCCCCTGCTCGCGGCTCTGCGGCAACGTTAACTCTGGGCGAGCGGGGCCGCTGACGCGTTACTGGTCTTCTGGAGGTTCAGCGCCAGCCAAAGAGAGACATCGCGGGACGCATGGGCTGCCGATGTTCCAGGCGAGAGGAAGCCTCTGCCTGGCAAGCCCTGGGAAGCCTGGCCTAGGTGTCTCCTGGCAGAGGGCGAATCTTCCAAAGTGGTTGAGGTTTGAAAGGGGGTGAAATCTGGAGCCTGGGCCACATTTCCCCCCCATCTCTTTCGTACCCCTGGGCCCTTGGCCGTATGTTCCGCCGTCCGTCTTACGGATACTCTTGTTCCCTTCAGGGCTGAAGTTTCGATCTCCTGCAAATCTGTTCCTTTTTTCTTTCCATTTCCTCTGCTTGTGGTCCCCAAGTCTTGACCTACCTATGCCCAGCGGTTGTCATTGTCACGCGTCACACGTCATACACACCACCACAGTGACCACACCACACCACAGACAAAGGTTCACGACTGGACAAAAGAGGTGTTCACTGGTCGGTCGTCTGGGATGTCACTCTCGGCCCTACCACACTACTTCAGCCCTTCAGACGGATCTGTGGGATCCAACGTGCTGGGTCACACCTAAACTGGGTCTCTTCTCCGAATCTTTTGCCCATCCCACCGCTCCTCATTCCATTCTCCTTGGCGAACTACGGAGGGGCCCCCTCTGGTTCATCAACTTCGGTTCCTCGATTTGTTCCATTTGTTCAAATTTTGTCCCGCCCCAGCCCGTGGAGCACTGGAGACGTTGCTTCACGTCGGCGGTGCCGAGCTTCCATTCTTGATCCTTCCACCCTACATAATTACGCCTTCTCCCCCTCGCGCGTCGCGAGGTCTTGTAAAGGGACGATGGGCATAATGGAGAAACTAGGGGTGACAGACCCCTTGGCAAAGCTTCCCCACAAGCCGCAGTCTTACAACGACAAATATGTCGTCGTCTACGACTTCAGTGAAGTCGGTATGTCAATTTCTCATTCGTCTTTCTATCATGATCGGGAATTATCGTTGGAATGGGGCTGGCCGACTGACTGTGCCCCAGATTCTGAGACCTCCGTCAAGGAGCTCACCACTCTCCTTAACGAACTCGAGTCTGCTGGTCTCCAGACGGAAGTGAGGGCCGGCTATGATCAGACCCTTCTCATCTTCGTCAAGGCTCCTCGAGAGCTTCTGGGAAACACCGTCTACAAGTCGAGGTCAGTTGGACCAACCGTCGTCACAGCCAGCTGAAACCCTTTGGCTGACATTTCCACCAGAGTAAAGGACTGGCTCTATGGCATTGTTCCCGAACATCCCGGCGGCTCCAAGACCACCGTTGTCGATGGTGCCTTTGAGGCCGAGGATATTCTTTCAGTGTACCACCTTGTCAACTGGCCCAAGTCTCTTGGTGGCGCTGGAATCACGCCCGAGACGGGCCAGTGGAAGAATGTCAAGGCCATTTTCCCTCTTCACAATGAGGAGACGAACCAATCCCTCATGAAGCATCTCAGCAAGCGGCTGTTCCTGACGCCTGACGATATCGATTCCATCCGCGACCTCTGGGGAACCAAGGTGAGTACCTCCCTCAAACCTGCCTTTTCTCCTCATCCCGTCTAACGAAACATGCGTATAGGTCGCATTCTACTTCGCCTTCATCCAGACCTATCTTCTCTTCCTCACTTTCCCCGCAATCACCGGCGTCATTGCATGGATGTACTTTTCAAAGTACTCCCTTACCTACGCCATCGCGACCTGCGTCTGGTGCACCATCTTCCTGGAATACTGGAAGATCCAGGAAGTTGATCTCAGCATCCGGTGGAACGTGCAAGGAATCGGCAAGGTCAAGGTCAACAGGCCGCAGTTCAAGTACGATAAGATTATCAAGGACGAGGCCGGCCAGGAGAAGCATTACTTTCCCAAGTGGAAGACGGTCTCCCGCCAACTGCTCCAAATTCCCTTTGTCTTGCTTTCTGCTCTAGCGCTGGGTGCTATCATCGTCCTCGTGTTTGCCATTGAGGTGCTTATTTCAGAAGGCTACGATGGGCCCTACAAGAACCTGATTGTGAGCTCTCTTCATGATGTTCTGGTGCTCGAACGAGATGCTAACCCAAAGGCAGGAATACGTTCCGACCTGCTTGCTCGCTATCGCATTGCCGTATATCAGTAGCGGCCTCGAAGACGTCGCCACGATGCTCACGAACTACGAAAACCACCGAACGGCCGATTACCACGAAATGTCCCTCACGCAAAAGATCTTTGTCCTCAACATCATTACAAACTACCTCCCGATTCTCATCACGGCCTTCATCTACGTTCCCTTTGGCGACACTTTCGTCCCCTGGCTCGAAGGCATGACAAAGGGCTTCCTCGGCGCCATTGGCCAAAAGTACATGGACGACGACCTCAGCTTCCACGTAGACGCAGACAGACTTCGCGACGAGGTCATCGCACTCGTCGTCACGGGCCAGATTTCCGGATTCTTCGACGAGAACATTATGCCCGTCTTAAAGCACAAGGCGCAGGGGATTTACCGCGAGTACAAGCGCTCGCACTCCAAGGACACGATGCTCATGTCCATCGTCAAGGACGCCCCCGAAGAGGCCAGATTCCTCCGCAGCGCACGCAACCAGGCCACCCTGGAAAAGTACAACGTCCAGGACGACATCGCCGAAATCGTCCTCCAGTTCGGCTACCTCGCCCTCTTCTCCCCCGTCTGGCCCCTCATCCCCATCGGCTTCCTCATCAACAACATCGTCGAGCTTCGCACCGACTTCCTCAAGATCTGCATGGAACATCGCCGCCCACCCCCGGTCCGCACCGACGGCATCGGCCCGTGGATCAACTCCCTTGACTTCCTCACCTGGGCCGGCAGCCTTTCAACCGGCGCCATCGTGCACCTCTTTGGCGCAAACAGCATCGGCGGTGGAGCGTGGTGGGCGCTCCCCATCACCATCTTCATCAGCGAGCACGTCTTCCTCGGCCTGCGCTCGGTTGTCCGCTTCTGTCTGGAGAGTATTGGGTCGGAGCAGATTCGCAAGCAGAGACACCAGCGGTACGCGACGCGCGTTAAGCACCTCGAAGAGATGGAGGCCAATAAGCAGGCTGGACTAATGCTCTCAGTCGCTGAGCGCGAGCGCCGCAAGTCGATCCGGGCGATGGGACAGGAGTCATTCTGGACGACACAGATCGACGACGGGGCGAGTGCGGCGGTGGGTATTGGTTTGATCCAGTCGGTCAAGAGGGCTGAAGTGTTGAAGGCCGGGCAACCGAAGATTGACTAGTAGGTTGTCTAATTTACTACGATGGTCAGATTTCTTACAGAAAATCGGCGTCTTGTTTGATTAGAGGGGTAAAAGTTAGAGCATGAACAACACCATACCAATAGAATGCCATACAACATCAGTCCGTCCACCTGCTCCTTAAGTTGGTGACTGAGGCTAACTGAAGAGCTAAGTGGAGATTGGACGAAGGGGTACAGTGACATGTCTTTGACATCACATTACTGCGCTGACATCATCGGATCGCATCCGCGCCATCAACAAACACAGCATCAACATCAACCTCACTTTCGAGCTTCGATCGCAAGACTGACAAGCAGGGTTTTTTCTGAACAATATCGACCGACATCTCGAGTTAATACCACCACCACTCATCACATTGTCATTGGGGCTCATTCAAAATGTCCAAAATCACATCCCCCTTCAACAACCCAATCTCCTTCGCCTCATGCTCCATCGGCCTCGCCCGACACACCCTCGAAGACAAGCTGGCAGCAATTTCCGCAGCCGGCTTCAACGGCATCGAACTCTCCTTCCCAGACCTCCAATCTTACGCCACGCGACACCTCAACAAGGGAGACATCGCAGCGGACGACTACCTCTCGCTATGCGAAGCCGGCAAACTCATCCGCGAGCTATGCGCGCAGCTTAACCTCCAAATCATGGTCCTACAGCCCTTTGCGAATTTCGAAGGGTGGCCACGGGGCAGCAAGCAGCGCGAAGAGGCATTCGAGCGCGCGAGGGGGTGGATGGAGATCATGAGCGCCGTGGGGACGGATATGCTGCAGGTCGGCTCGTCGGATTCGCCAGAGATCACGTCGTCTATCGGAGATCGTGTCGCCGATCTTGCGGAGTTGGCGGATTTGCTTGCGACAAAGGGGTTTAGGATTGCGTATGAGAATTGGTGCTGGGCTACGCATGCGCCGTCGTGGAAGGATGTGTGGA